GGAGTCTCCCTGATATATCTGGTTTCCCCAAGACTTTTTTTAGAGGCTAATCTGTGATCACAACAATGGTGTGACTCTGGAAATAATGTCGAAGACGCCTAACTGTTGTGACGAGGGCGAGCGCTAGCTTTTCCAGGCCTGAATATCTGATCTCTGCTCCTCGGTAGGCTCTGCTCACATAATAGATGGGCTTTTGTACTCTATCATTGTTCTTGATGAGGACGGAGCTTACTGCTGAGGGAGAAACAGAGAGGTATAGGTATAATATTTCTCCTAATACAACATTTGACAAGAGAGAAGGCTTAGCCAGATAGGCTTTGAGCCTTTGAAAGGCCTCCTCTGCCTCAGGTTCCCACTTGAAAGCTTTTTGGAGAATCTTGAAGAAAGGCAAGTATTTGTTTGCAGACTTAGAAATAAACCTGTTGAGTGTTGTAACTCTTCCATTGAGGCGCTGGAGCTCCTTAGTCGAGGAAGGCAACTTCATATCAAGGATGACCTTGATCTTGTCGAGGTTTGCCTTAATTCCCCTCTGGTTAACCATAAAACTGAGGAATTTTCTTGACCCAATGCTAAAGGTGCACTTCTCTGGATTCAGCTTCATACAGTACGATTTGAGAACATTGAAGGTTTCGTGGAGGTGATCAATGTGATCTGCCGCAACGAGACTCTTCACTAACATGTCGTCCACATGCACCTCCATTATTTTTCCGATCTACGACTAGAACATCTTGTTTACCAATCGTTGATAAGTTGCTCCTGCATTTTTTAACCCGAAGGGCATGACCTTGTAGCAATAGGTCCCCTTTGGAGTGATGAACGATGTCTTCTCCTAGTCTGGGGGATGTTTGCTGATCTGGTTATTCCCAGAATAGACATTCAGGAAAGTGAACAATTCATGTCCTGCGGTGGCGTCAATGAGGAGGTCTATTCATGGTAGTGGGTAACTATCCTTTGGGCATGCCTTGTTACGCTTAGTAAAGTCGACGTAGAGGTGCCACTTCCCATTAGCCTTAGTTACCATCACCACATTGGAGACCCACTCTGGATAGGCTACTTCTCTGGCCGCCCCATTCTCTATTAACTTTTCTACCTCCTTTTTCATTGCTTGGGCCCTTTCAGTGGAGGCACCCCTTAACTTTTGGCGAACCGGCTTGTGGCGAGGGTCGACATTAAGGCGGTGTGTGGCGACCTTAGGGTCAATGCCCTCAAGGTCTGCAAGTGACCATGCAAAAATGTCCATGTTGAGCCTCAGAAAGTCTGTTAACTGGTGGATCAAATATTTAGAAAGGGAAGAATCGATGTACACCCCTCTATCTGGATGTTCCTCATTTAAGACCATTGGGGTGAGCTTCTCGATGGGCTCTCCACTTTCTATGGTGGCATCATCCCTTGGGTCAAGGACCTCTACTTGAAGCGCTTCTTGTGGCTTTCTCGTCCTCATGGAGGAGATGTAGCATTCTCTCGCAGCTACTTAGTCCCCTCGGACCTCTCCGACTCCGTTAGAGGTGGGGAAACAGAGAAGGAGATGGTAGGTAGAGGGCACATCTCTTAAGGTGTTGAGAGCAGGTCGCCCTAAAATAATGTTGTAGGCTAAAGGGCATTTGATCACCAAGAAATTGACCATGATCGTGGAGCTTCGAGGTTCTACTCCAGCAGTGACAGGTAAGGTGATGGACCCTAGGGGATACACTTTCTCTCCCAAGAACCCGATGAGGGGAGACCTGATAGGTTGCAGTCTCTCCTTGCCTGAGTTGAGCTTGTCATAAGCCTCTGCGAACAAGATATCCGCTGAGCTACCATTGTCCACGAGAGTCCTTCTTACCTGGAAGTTGGCCACGGTCATGGAGAGCATCAAAGGGTCATCATGTGGGTGTTGGATTCCTTCCAAATCCTTGTCTAAAAAGGATATGACTTCACTATTGCCAAGCTTGAGAGTCTTGGATGGGCGTAATTCCTCGGGGTGCCTAACTCTCTTGGCATGAGCCGTCATAGCAAGGAGGGATTCTCCTCTCCCTGCTAGCCCTCCGGAGATGGTGTGAATCTCCACGACGGGCTGTTGGTCTTCTTGATTACGGGGTGGTGCTGGCACCTGCCCTTTATCGGCAACATATTGGCGTAGGTGACCTCGTTAGATGAGCTCCTCAATCTACCTTTTGAGGTCATAACAATCATTGGTGTCATAGCCATGGTCGCGATGAAAGCGACAATACTTGTTTGGGTTCCTACGGTTTGGGGGAGACTTTATCCTCCTAGGCCACTTTATTACGGGATCATCCTGGATCTGCAATAGGACGTACTTGACAGCGGCATTGAGGGGAGTGAAGGACTGTCGATCTCTCTGGGGAGCAGGACCAAGTCGGTCTTTGGTAGGTACCCTCTTCGTCTTACTGTGTGCTTGTTTTTATTCTCCTTCTTGTCATCCCTGTCTCTTTCTTTTCTTTTTTCCCCAGCTTTGGATGACTCACCTCTCCTGGCTCTTGTAATGTCCTCAGCATTCATATATTTTTGAGCCTTCGCTAATAGTTTTGGCATGCTCTTCGGTGGACGTTTCATCACTGAGAGAAGGAAGCTTGACGACTGAAGGACCTCCTCGTTAAAACGAGTGATGTAGCTCCTTAGGCTCTCGTCTTGTTCCTGTTTTATGTTGAGCAGGTGGGTGGCAGGCTTCTGGTGGCGACGCCCTCCAATGAAGTGTGACACAAAAGACCTGCTCAGTTCAGCAAATGTGCCAATAGAGGCTGAGGAGAGTTTGGCAAACCATTGTCGAGCAGACCCCTTCAAGGTGGTTGGGAATACTCTGCACATGATTTCATCGGAGACATTGTGCAGTTGCATTAAAGTTTTAGAAGTTTCAAGATGGTCTAGAGGATCTTTCGTACTGTCAAAGGTCTTAACAGATGGCATCTTGAATTTTTGAGGGAGTGAGTAGTTCGCCACGTCTGGTTTGAAAGGTGTGTCAGTTCGACTTACGAGGTAATCCACTATCTCGGGGCCTTGAGCCTTCATGGCGTTGAAGACATCTTCTAACTGATTTTGAACCTCCTTAATTTTTTCCTCCCACTGATTGGGAGGAGGTCCTCTGGAATTATCACAGACATGACTCTCGTGCTCAATGCTTTGATTGTCCCCCTCATCCTCTAGGAGAGGAGGGTCTCCACAATGGGGAGCAGGAGCAGGTGTTAGAGGAGGAGGTCCCTCACGGTGGGGCCCCTTGTGTAGGGCACCCAAGGGAACTCCCAAAGGTGGGGCGCCTGGGTGGGGAGCGCTTAGGTGAGGAGCTCCTTGATGACCAAGGAGTGGAGCTCCCTTGGCTTGAGGTCCAGGCTGTTCTCCTCCTTGTTGCCCGAGCATCAATTGTAGGATCTGCTGGTTTTGGACTATGAGATGCTGCATCGTGACCAGCATCTATTGTGCATTTGGGACGAGATTAACAGGTGGAAAAGCAACCTCCTCCTCTCGTAGACTGTTTTCGTGCTAACTCATGATTTTTGTGGTGATTGACTTTGATTGAGCAAAGGAAAATGGTTAGGTGAGAATTCTATCGTTCCCACAGACGACGCCAAACTAATGATGCATAAATTAGTTTGCACACCACTAGTCAAGTAATAGTATAAAATGCAATAAAATAAATAGAGGGAAATAGGAAACAAGATTTATAATGGTTCGGTCAATAAGACCTACGTCCACTTTCGATGGCTAGATTCGCCGGGAACTTTATTAACTCAGGGGTGTAGGGAGAGCAAGGATTACAAGAGAGAGAGGAGATGAGCTTGACTCTTTTTCAGATGCCCCCCAAGTGTTAGGGGAGCTTACAATTTATAGTTTCGTGCGTAGTAATTGGATAACTAGTTTGACGGTCATAATTGGGGCTGTTTAATAGTAATTAAATCTCTTGGCGACTTCCCCTCTCCTTGGCGATCTCTTCTCTCCTCAACCGACAAGGAAATTATGATGCACACCAAAGGACTTGGTCAAGGTATGTGGAAAGGTTGACTCTCTCTAGGCCGCGTGGGATAGGTTCCAAGATGTTCCCTTGGTGGTGCAACTCCCTGATGAGCTTGCTTGGCTTGGACCTTGTTTGGTTGGACTTTGCTAGATCTCTTGGGATTGGATCATTAATTTAAGTCGGGCTTATAATATGAGTTGGACCCTTGGACCTGGCCCATCAATCTCGACGATCTATCAAGACTTAAAGAATTGTATTGGCTCTAATAGTCAATTATCTAGACTTTCAAGATTGAAAGTTGGCTCTGATACTAATTTTTTTGAATTACTTTAATGCTAATTTGGTTCGAAAATCGATCTAATACCACTCTATTGGAATCAAAAGAACTAGAAATAAAATGTGATAATGAACAAATTGGTTTGCACACCACCTATCAAGTAAGCAGTAAAAAATGCAGTAAATAAATAGAGGAACAGAGAAGACAAGACTTATAGTGGTTCGGTTGTTATGATCTACGTCCACTTTGAATGACAAGGGTCGCTAGATATTTTATTAACTCAAGTGTGTAGAGAGCAAAAAGTTATAACCTTTGAGGGGGAGAGGAGAGAGTTACGCTCGAATGAGTGTGATGCCCCCAAGTGTTGGCGAGACTTACAATTTATAGTCGTCTCATAACGTATAGTAGTTGAACAACCAGTCTGACGGCCATAACGGATCGGGGTGATTTAATAGTAATTAAATAACTGATCTGGCGGAAGTGCGCGACCTCTTCTCAACGGGCGAAGCGGTTACGATGCTCTCCTTGAGAATGAGGAAGTGAGGGTTGATTATATCCAAGGCGGTGAGGATAAGGCCTTGGATGACCTTACATACTCTTTGCTGATGTAGTGATCTTGATGAACTTAATCGGGTTGATCACATTGGGCTGGAGTTGGCAGATCTCTTGGAGTTGGGCCATTAATTCAGACTAGGCTTATAACATGAGTTGGGCATTTGGGCCTGACCTATCAAAATGTAAGAAAATAAAGGAAGGTATGAACACCCAAACAAAAAATAATTCATTAAAGTTGATTACAACCACATCTTGAACTCTTCCCATACTAACTTAAGTAAACTAATTACCTCTAATACTAGATCACGTACCTTATTTACATAGACCTTAAACATAACTTATAACATTACATTACGGTATCACTATACCCACTAACTCTAGTAACATTTATAATATTAAGACCCACTTTCAAAACTATCAGGAGAATTCACTCATCCACTACATGGTATATTAATATACCACTAGCCGACTAACACACCTTATTAACACACCTTAAAAACATAATAAAACTCTAAAAAAAGTTTATTTTTTAACAGTTGGTTCCAGATCCACCATCATCGTTACTGGTCACCGGAAGTTTGTCTCCACCCTTCCAAATTTTTCTTCCCCATATAATCACCCACCTCTGGAAGAAAGTTATAATGAAGGCAGCTACCAAAAGGGTATAAGGAAAGCCTCCTTTCGTGATACTGGCAATTGCAAATCCATAGGCAAACACCATCGAAACCATAGAAATCAAAAGCTCCCTTCGGAATGGAAATCCAATAGTGAGATGAGTTATGATACTGAGCGAAGCAGTAAGCCCCATGGCGTTTGCAAACACAAAAGAAAATGCTATAGCATTAGTTTCCAAATCAAAGGGGTGTGGATTCCCTTTCAGGATGCTATCTGGAGGGTTCACGCCTGCTTTAAATGTGACCGTGGCAATCAGAGCAGCCACCACGACATGGGGTGAATCTCTTTCCTTTTTAAACTTCAATTCGTTGAGCAAATCGTTGGAAGATTTTGGTTGAAGTACATTCTTGGCTTGTTCAATTTTTGCAACCTGTTGAAGAGAAGCTGTGGAGATAGTGTTAGCATGTTGAGCACGAAGTGGCCCAGCACGTTGAAACGTTTCTTTTAGGTGGAGATCCTGGGGACTTTCTATGACTATATCCACCACATCCATGGCTGTAAAACCCTTCAAATTTGTGGCATTCACCTCCACTATGTCACTCATCGAGTTATTGTTATTGAGGAGTAGTTCTATGGTCTGCATCAGAGAAACAGTTGTAAATTATTCCGTAAACACACATTATGAGTCATTCCATGGAGAAAAAACATCCAAGAAATTCTCCTATATATATTATCTAGTCTTTCATAGAAGTATGGAAGATAAGAAGATAAATAAGGCAATAATATAAAGGTCTCTACTCTCTATAATTAATGTTGTCAATGAGTTGTTTCATGTTAAAATCTGCTTAACTCATGTCAAGAAATATCTAGTGTGGTAATGATATAAAAAAAAAGACACACGAAAAGGCAAATTGTAAAAGAGAGTCAAGGAAGTTTGATAGATTTGAACTTCATAAATGATCTTATGTTCACAAATATCCTTATAAATGAAAATACATTTATAACCCACACACCTAAACACACTTAATTTCAAATATAATTTCTATCTATAACTCGAGAGCTAGAACCCTTCTCATTGTTTGTTAATTACCACTAGTCTGGTAACTAAAACTCTCCATATTATTCTTCATCATTAGTCTGATAACTGATTTTTATGTACACATCTCTATATTAATCACACGGTATCACTCCTTGTTACCATTCAAATCCGGTAACTCAATTCCCGTCTCATAAGATATGGTTCTAACAAACACACCTATATTATTATTTACAAAATCCTCTCTTTATCTCCAAAACATATTAAAACAACATAATAGAGTCACCCCACACATTTTCATCATTGACAATTGAAAATTATAAAATATTTAATTCCAATCACAAACATCAATATATATATAATATTTACAGGCACCAACTTATTTAAATCATTACCTCTCTTGAGCTTTAGTAGTTGCAGAGCCTCACTTCTTCTCCTTCTTCCCTGTTGGTGTATATGTGTATAGTCTATTGAATCTGGTTTCTTCTCTTTTTATTTTCAGGCAGCACAGCACCTCTTCTCATTTTATAGACCCATTCTCTTTCTTTATCATGAATTAATCATGACACACACATCTCACTTCACAAGAAAAACATCTGGCTCCTCACCTCGTTTGCCCTTTTACTACACGAGCAACACACATTATATTTTTCCACATGGGGCCCACCACTTCACTCTCTCTCTCTCTCTCTCATAAGTCATAACAGAGATCAACTATTTAGCCAACATCCTGTGTGTCTCTCTGCATATCCTTCTGCTACCTCAACTTTCTCTCTCGTGCCTGAAAACACATCCACTGGTTGCTCTAGCCAATTATGTTCTTGAGTTTTTAAAGTTTTTTTGTGGTTAGGTGATAAAGATATTTGTAAATTCCTACAACAATACGAACTCGGCTCGATTTGTTTTGGATTTGGCTCATTTTATAAACAAATTGAATTTGAATAATTTTTTAAGTTCATTAAGAAAAACGAACTTGATATTAGTCCTATTAGCGTGCCAAGAAAAGTTTGAATTTGTTATCCCACCTCATTAAAAGTTTTCCAAACACAAAATTAGGGGGGGGAGGTTTTTTATACCCATATCATCAAGTAAATACTATCATGGCTACCTGCTTCGTGAACAATTAAATATTACAATAAATAACAATGTAGATGTAGCAAAAATGAGGCTCGTATGCTTTGTGTTGTTGGACTAACTCCCTTGTACTGTTCAATAAAACACAAGATGTAGAAATTGACCATGAACTGACCAGAACCGATCATGCAGTCAATGGAAAGTCTTTGTCAAAGTCTCCTAATTTAACACGCCAAAGACTTTAAAGATATGTTTGGTTCGATTATAAACAAACAATGAAATTAGATAATTAATTTCCATCCGGTATGGAAATTGAAGGGGTGTGATTGATCATTGAGGTGAACATATAAATTAGAAGAAGGGAGTATAATAAAATTTCAAAAAAAAGAGGGTGTCATTGAAGTTAGACAAATTTACAAGAAATATGTATGAAATTTACCGATGTACATAATTAACAAAAAATTATAAATTCCTAAAAAGAAAAATTATGATTCATGTTCACTACGGAATGAGTAATCAACTTTAAAATCACTTTCAACTTTGTTCGGCACTCACATACTCATATCTCTTTCTCACTCCTTTGTTTTGTTCCTTGTTCCTTTAGCCTATTGGTTATCTTGGACACTTGACAACACGAACACGAGCACTCACCTACTTTCTCTTGCTTTCGGAAGTTGTGTAAACCACACTCCACACACACACACACTCTTTTCAAATTATTTTATACCCACTCCTTAAATCTCCTTTCTCATGTCATTTAATCTTCTTACTTAAAATATTAAGTTTGTTTTATCTATATTCATTAATTAAAAATTAAATTCATCTAATTTTAATTTAAATATTGTATAAGAAATGATCAAAATTTTATTTCGATTTATTATTTTGATAAGAAAATATTTTTAAAACAGAATTAAAATTAATAAAAAATAATAAATATTTAGGCATGTTTGGCCAAAATTATTGGATGAGATAGGATAAATTTTTTACATCCAAATCCATGACCATACTCTCCATACGTTTGGATATGAAGATGGGAGATGTGGGCCCAATTAATTTGACCAATGATGTTGACATTGTGGATTTTTCCATCGTACCCCTATTATTAATTCAATCCATCTCTTTCTGTACAATTCATGGGCATTCGAGTGATTTAGGTTCCTTAACCAGCGTTGGCAATTTTTGCCATTTTGTATCCCACCCTCCCGGTGGGTTAAAAAAAAAACCCACTTGCGTGTACCACTGATAATTAAATAGAAATACTTAGGTTTAGATTCAACTTGGGTTTGACTCGTATTTTAAACGAGTCGAATTTAAATAATTTTTTAAATTTATTTAAAAAACGAGCCTACAAAATTCAACTCGAACTCACGTAACTCGACTCACTTATATGTAAAATAGTCAAATTATTCGGGTTCGGTTCCACTCGAATTCAACTATTTTTCTAAACGAGTTGAGCTTTTAAATGAGCGCAACAAATTCAACTCGAACTTCTAAACGAACTCAACAAACTCCACTAAAATTTACAAAATTCAACTTAATTATCAACTCTACTAGCATGCCAAAAAAAATTCGAATTTGTTATCCCACCCCTAGAAAGTTTTCCAAGCATAAAATAAGGGGGGGCCATGTTATTTATATCCAATAGATATCAACCATAAACTCACAAACCAATCAGAACAAACTCCTCTAGTCGATGGAAAGTCTTTTGTCCAAGTGTTCTAATTTAACACGCCAAAGACTTTAAGGGCAAATTTGATTTGATTATAAACAAACGAGGAGATTAATTGATTTCCATCGAATTCATACAAATGATATTAAACACTACAAGAAATAGGACATTTAGCAATGAAAATTGTGTTGCGACTAAATTATCATTATATGTTTTAGTGATAATTTTTTTTATTGCCATTAAGTCATGGCAATATCTGTTGTGTCTAGAGATGTCAGTGGAACGAAGCGGGGGCTGGGAGTGTACTCTTCATCCCCGTACTCGTTTAAAAAAACTTCGTTCATACCCGGTCTACCCCCGTTAACGGATATAATTTTCATTCACATCCCCGTCCGCGGGTAAATTTCTAATCTCTGTCCCCGTCCTCACTTCCCCCTGTACCCGCTTAAGCCCAAGCCTAAGCCCAAGTCTAAGTAGCATAATCCAAAATTATAAATAAATCTAATATTTTAAATAATCTAACAACATTCTAAATAATCTAACACAACATAATGTAGATTGCAAAATATAAAACCCAAAATAATATGGTATTCTATTTAAAGTGTCATTAGACCACAAAAAGAGAAACAAAACTATTAGAGAGAAAGGAAGAAAATGAAAATAAAATTGAATTAAGAAAACGATAGCACTACACTTGAAATTTCCTAGAAAAAATTTTGTTATTACAATTAATATTACAGCCATAAAGTGTTAACAAATGAAAACTTAAAATTTCGTTAATTCAATAATTCTCTTCATTTCTTAGTTCACTTTAGTAGAAAAACTCATTAACCTCCTAACAGTTTCAATTAGTGCGCACAAATATAAAAAAGAACAATCAAGGAAAAAAGTTAATAAGATTACCACATAGCAATGCCACTTGTTAGTTTGATTACCATATTTCTAGATTGGTAGTTACAGTAAATATGTTTAATTAGGGTTTGAGAGTATTTTTATTTATATATATATATAATGGGTAGCGGGGGCGGGGAGGGGTAAGGGTAAGTCCATCCCCGTCTTCATCTCCGTACGGGTTTATACGGATATCTCCGTATACGTCCACCGTCCAATACGTATAGTCCATTCTTGGTCCGAATGGGACGGGTTTGGACGAATACCCTTTTTTTCCTGGTCCACTGCCATCCCTAGTTGTGTCTAATTCTCCGTTTCATATGATGAAAAGTTGGAAGGATGAAAAGTTGAAGGGATAAATAAAACATCATGTTTGGTAAGAAATCATGAAAAAGTTGATGGATTAACTTTCCTTCCAACTCACCAAAATTGGAAAGAAAGTGGATGAAAAGTTAATTATTTTTGTTGCGATTTATCTTATTTGTTTATATATCTTTTGATATATACATTAATTTCTTATAAAAATACAATGATAATATATATATATATATATACACAAAACATTAACACGACACGAAAATAAACTAGTCAACTCGTAACTCGATACGACACAATTAGTTAAATGAGCTGAGTTAGGTTTGACTAATGTTCAACACAAACCCGTAATGACTCAACACGAATCTGACACGTCACGACTCGATTGTTACCCCTAATCTTTGGCAGCACAAAAAAAAAATAATCATTTTTATTTTTCATCCATCCAACCGAACACAAAGGAATTAAAGTGTATAATTCCTATTTTTTTTCCTTGAAAGATAGAAAGTGTATTTCTCCTACTTTTTATCATCTCTACTTTCCATCATTCCAACCAAACGGAACATAAATAATTTAGCAATAAAATTTCAATGTTGCCACTAAAAGTAAAGTTTTTAGTTGCAATATGAAAAATATCATTAAATATGAAATACTTAGCCGCAATAATTATTGTTGCAAGTTAAGGTAATTTTGCCAATGTTGTCACTAAAGGTACAATACAAATTTGACTTTTAGTGGCAATAATTAGTTACGACTAAAAATTTACTGTTTAACCATAATTAAAAGCACCACTAAAATATTATACCCTATTTTTAGTGACAACTTATTGTCATTGCTAAAATGTTGAAATGAATAAAAATTTTGATTTTATTTTTGAAAAAAAAATATTTATTGAATATTTTTCAATTCACACACTTGCTATTCAAATAAATAAAACAATAAAATAAACAATGATGAAATAATAGTATAATCAACGCTTGATATTGTAAAAATATGTTCTCAAATCAATTAACATTAAAATAATATAATTCAAATCTCAAAAAATATAATAAAATATAATATAATTCAAATCTCAAAATTAAATAAAATGACTTTTCGCTGTTGAGATTTTTTTAAATTTTACTCTAAAGTTAATCCGAAAGCTAATAATAACACTTCAAATTTAATTGGAAAAATATACCTCTAAGGATGTATTTGAGATGACTTTTTAAATGTACTTCTAAAACTTATAACTACTTATGATTACTTTAAATATATATATATATATATATATATATATTAGAAACTGTTCCACCACTACCACCCCCACTGCCCCACCACCATCACCATTACCATCGTTGCTAGTGCCACTCTGATTAATCCTAATTAAGACATAATTTAATAGATAAATTGTGTTAGTTGAATAAAGTTAAACTAGTCAAAATAAATCAAATTAGAATTAGTGTGTGAATAAAAGATAATACATTAATTGTTGTTCTTTTCAGAGTTTTGTGCGTCAAAGCTACAAACTACTAGGGAGCCAATTGCATTAAAACTACAAACTACTGGGGTGTCAATTATCAAAGCTCGAAACAAAGGAGGATCAAAGAATTCAAGGTCATCTAACAAGATTTTCAAGTTCACCTAACAAGATTCAAAGTCACCTAACAAGATTTTCAAGTCCACCTAACAAGACTCTTCAAGTCCACCTAACAAGATACAAGGCCACATAACAAGACTTTTACCCTCCCTTGTTGCCTATAAATACCACCCCTTAGGACTTGTAAAACATTCATCTTTTGGGAGTGAAAAACCCTCCAAAAGTATTATTATTTTCCTTATTTCTTCTAGCTTTCTTTTATTGTATTCTT